CCCCCGGCCAAGCCGCAGGCGGGCTCGAGCCAACCCCAGACATGCTCGCCCCGCAAAGGAGCACGCGGCGGGGCGGGGGGCTGGCCGTGTTCGGCCTCCGGGGGGGGCCCCTCGCCAGGCCCCGTGCGGGGCCGTCAAAAGAAAGGGCTCGAGGATGAGGAGCCGGCCCCCGCAGAAGGAGTCGGGACTTACGGGGGCCCTGCATTGAAAAAAGCATGGCATCGCATGCCTGGGACTGGCTGACTCTCGCCCGGCCAGAGGGGGGCTTGAGCCAACCGCGGCTGCGGCAGGATCATGCCGCGACAACGTGGGTGGCGGCTCTGGCTTCGCGAATCGTTCAGCCCTGAGCCTATGCACGGTAGAAGGAAAAATCAGTGGACACTCCGCCTCCCCCAAATTCAAAGTTGGCACGCGCGGGAAGACTGCGGTCGAAGTGCAGATCATCTAAACCACCACCAACTTTGATACTGGGGGCATTGACAGATGAATTTAGCATGAGAGTTCGCTAATCCCACCAGCCCTCTGGGCGTAGGTGGTCTAACGAGCTCTTTCTTCTTCCAAAACACCTCTTCCCTTCGGGGAGGGGTACCCTTCCCCTCCCCCTCCCCCTCCCTGAACGTTTTGTTTGGGGGGTCGCGAAGTGGCAAGGATCCTTTTTCGCCACAGATGGCTCCAAGAGGGCCTCCGCTGCTCCAGGATGTCCTTCAAGGCTGCTCAAGATAGCCAAAGACGGCTCAAGACAGCTATCGAAACACCTCGAAGAGGCCCGACGAGGGACACAAGACAGTTACAAGTGCTCTCGGAGCCCCCTCGGGACCCACCCTCAAATACATGGAAAACACATGATTTGGGTCTTCTCGTCTTTTCGCTTCCGATGCGCTTTTGAGGCCTCGAGATAACCAAAGGATGGCCCATGAGGGCCCCAAGAGGGGCCCACGAGGCCCCCAGAACAGCCCCAAGAGCGCCCAAGATCGGCCCAAGAGCGCTCCAAGAGCCGATTTTGATGGATGGCACAGGGGGGCGGGGGGGGGGGGGGGAATCGAGGACCAGGGGTTCCGGGTAATAAAAACAAAAGAATCGAATAACCCGGCATGCATGTCACCGTCACCCTCCCCCTCTGGGCACCCGCACACGAACCCCAGACCCACTCCCCAGCGCCTCGAAGAGGCCTCAAGACGGCCCAAGAGGCCTCCAAGACGGCCCCAGGAGGCCCCCAAGATCGTCCAAGAGGGCCGCGAGACGAACAAAGATCGCTCCACGACGCCCAAGATAGTCCAAACATAACCCAAGACGCCCCCAAGACGCCCTAAGAGGCGTCCAGGAGGCTCACCAAGAGGGCCCCAAGAGGCAAACATGATGGCGTTTTTGCTCGATAGTGTTTGAAGGTTTCTTTGGGTCTCGCCTTTTCGGCTTCCCGACGATCCAAGATAGCCCGAGAGGCCCCCAAGATCGCACCAAGACCGCCCAAGAGGCCCCCGAAACAGCTCCAAGACGGCCCAAACGGGCCCCAAGGCAGCCCAAGACGCCTCCAAGACGACACAAAAGGGACCCACGACGGCTCCAAGAGAGCCCAGACTGGGGATGCAAACGGACTTTTGGGGCTTTGCCCCTGAGAGGCCCCCAGAAGGCGCCAAGAAACGACCTGGAGGCCCCCAAGAGGCCCCCAGAGGCCCCCACGAGACTCCCAAGAGGCCCCCGAGCGGTCCTCAAGAGCCCCCCAAACGACCCCCAACAGGCACCGAACCGGGCCCCAAGAGGCTTCCGAAATGCTTCCAGGAGGCCCCCAAGAGACCTGCCCCCAAGATCCTCCAAGAGAGCCACGCCCAAGATAGTCCCACTACGACCCAAAACGCTCCCAAGACGCCCCAGGAGGCGTCCAAGAGGCTTCCCTAGAGGGCCCCAAGAGGCAAAAATGGTTGGTTGTTTTCTAAAGTTGTTCTAGTTTTCTTTGGGTATCACCTTTTCGGCTTCCCAACGATACAAGATAGCCCAAGAGGCCCCAAGATCGCACCAACACCACCCAAAAGGCCCCCGAAACAGCCCCAAGACGGCCCAAACGGGCCCCAAGATAGCCCAAGAGGCCACCAAGACGGCCCCAAAGAGCCCCAGGACGGCTCTAAGAGAGAGCCCAGACGGGGGATCCGAACGGTCTTTTCGGACCCTCGACCCCAAGAGGCCCCCAGGAGGCCCCAAGAAAGGCCCTGGAGGTCACCAAGAGGCTCCCAGAGGCCCCCACGAGCCCCCCAAGAAGCTCCCAAGCGGTCCCCCAAAGCCCCCCAAACGGCCCCCAAGAGGCAAAGAACCGGACCCCAAGAGGCTTCCAAACTTCTTCCAGGAGGCCCCCAAGAGAGCTGCCACGAGCTCCGAATGAACTGTCCAGATGCTCCCATGAGGAGCCCCGGACCCCTCCAGGACAGCTTCAAGCGCGCTCCAAGGCCTCCCAAGATGGCTCCAAAACGACCCAGGATGGCCAGTTGTCGTCGCCGAGTTCGTTCGTCGTCGTCGTCGTCGTCGTCGTCGTCGCCGTCGTCCGAAGACGGTCCTACAGGGCTCCAGGACAGCCCAAGAGGGCGCCTAGATGACCAGAAAAAGGCCCCAAGCGGATCCCCAATCAGGTCTACAGAGGCCAACTTCATTAACTTCCCACTGTTTCAGCTTCATCACCTCTCCTGTCACGAGTCTCTGAAGAGATCCCCAAGAAAGTCCAAGAAGGTTCCAATGTCACTCTGGACACCAACTCTTCGGATCCTCCTCATCCTCATCCTTTTGTCCTTCTCCTCCTTCTCCTCCTCCCCCGTCTCCTCCTCATCCCCCTCCTCCTCCTCCTCCTCCTCCTCCTCTTCTCCTCCTCCTCCTCCTGCTCCTGCTTCTCCTCTCTCTCTCTCTGCTTCCCCTCTGCCCCTCCCTTATCCCCCTCCTCCCTCTGCTCCTCCTTCTCCGCCCCCTCCTCCTCCTCCTCCTCCTTCTCCTCCTCCTGCTCTTCCTCCTCCTGCTCCTCTTACTCATCCTGTAGTTCGTTGTCTTCCTCCTCCGCTGCTTCTGAAAGGCCCCAGACCAGAGACCGCTGTTATCACCAGCTCCCCAAAGACACCCAAGGGTCCCAAGACAGACCAAGGGGGCCCCAAGGAGGGCCCACGACAGGCAGCCAGGGTCCGGGGAACCACAATTTGATGCGCAGTTTTCCTTTCGTCGCAGGAGCCCACGGAAATCTCGAGAGGACCAAAAACATACCCCAGACCCTACACTGCTGTCACCAGCTCCCCACAAGCACCCACGAGACTCCTGGACGGTCCAAGAAGACCCCACCACGGGCCTACGACAAGGCTTCCTCCTGCTCGTCCTCCTCCTGCTCCTCTTCCTCCTCTAGTTCGTTGTCTCCTCCTCCGCTGCATTCTGAAAGGCCCAAAACCAGAAACTGTCATCCAAGCTCCCAAGAGACACCGAGGGGCCCCAAGACACACCTGTGGGGCCCCAGAGAGATCCCACGACAGGCTTCCAGGGTCTGGGGAACCACAACTTGATGCGCAGTTTTCTTGTCGTCTCGGGAGCCCACCGCCTTATCTCTCTCCTCTTTCTCCCTCTCCTCGTCCTCACTGTCCTCCCTCTCTCCCGCCGCGCCGGCCCGCGCGAGGCGCGAAAAACTTCGTCGTCCCGCGACGGCCCCACCCTGGGTGAGAAGAGGGGGAGGGGAGGAGCAGGAGGAGGAGAAGGAGGAGGGCGGGGGGGGAGCAGGTGAGGGACGACGACAACGACGACGACAGCGAAAACGAGGACGACGACAACGACTACGACGACGACGACGACGACTACGACGACGACGACGACGACGGCAACGACGACGACGGCGGCGGCGGCGGTGGCGGCGACGACCGACGATCTTGACCGCAGCGTCACTAGAGACACGTCGGTGCAAGGATCAGCATTAGAAGGCGAAGCGCAGCGAGCCTTCACATCTTGTATGTATGCATGTATGTATGTATGTATGTATGTAGGTAGGTAGGTAGGTAGGTAGGTAGGTTTGTAGGTGTGTATGTATGTCTGTCTGTCTGTCTGTCTGTCTGTCTGTCTGTCTGTCTGTCTGTCTGTCTGTCTGTCTGTATGTATGTATGTATGTATGTATGTGTGTGTATGTATGTGTGTATGTGTATGTGTGTATGTATATATGTATGTATGTATGTATGTATGTATGTATGTATGTATGTATGTATGTATGTATGTATGTATGTATGTAGGTTTATATGTGTGTATGTGTGTATGTATGTATGGATGTATGCATACATGTATGTATGTAACTATGTATGTGTGTATGTATGTATGTATGTATGTATGTAGGTATGTGTGTAGGTGTGTACGTATGTATGTGTGTATGTATGTATGCATACATGCATGCATGCATGTATGTATGGATGTGTGTATGTATGTGTGTGTATATATGCATGTATGTATGTATGTATGTATGTATGTATGTATGTATGTATGTGTGTATGTATGGTTGTGTGTGCATGTATGTGTGTATGTATGCATGCATGCATGCATGCATGCATGCATGTATGTATGTATCTATGTGTGTGTACGTATGCATGCATTCATGTATGCATGCATGTCTGTATGTATGTATGTATGTATGTATATATGTATGAATGTATGTATGTATGTATGTATGTGTGTGTATGTATGTATGCGTGTCTGTCTGTCTGTCTGTCTGTATGTATGCATGTATGTATGTGTGTATGTATGTATGCATGTATGTATGTATGTATGTATGTATGCATGTATGCATGCATACATGCATGCATGCATGAATGCATGTATGTATATGTGTATGTGTGTATATATATATATATATATCAGACCAAGGCAGACGCATGGCTGTTCTGACGTTGTCGAGTAGGCACTTTGCGAGTAGTGGAACGCGCTCGGCGAACCACGCAGAGGGGGCCGCAAGGAGGGCCGCCAGGAGGGCCGCCAGGAGGGCCCCCGAGGGCCGCGGGCCGCCGGGCCTGCTCCTGGGGCCGCCAGCAGCCGCCCGCGGCCAAGTGCGCGTCGGCGGCGCCCGCGAGGGCGCGGCACTCCGCCTGCGAGAGCAGGCCGGGCACGAGCAGGACGCTGTCGTGGAAGAAGAGCGCGGAGTCCTCAGAGAGGGTCACCTCGGCAGCGGGGCGGAGGCGCGGCGAGCTGGGGATCCCCGTGGCCCCATGTCGCCTCGGAGGGGCACGCCACGCGCGAGGCTCGCAAGCCCGTCGCGCGGCGCCTCGTGCCCCGCTGGGCCAACATGGCTTCGTCGTAGGAGGCCCCGGGAGGCGGGGGCGCAGCGCCACCCGCGGAGGCGGCGGCCGATGGCGGACGGCGGACGGCAGAGCGGAGGGAGGAGGAGGCAGCACGAGGACAAGCGGTCGGAGCTCCGCGCGGAGGCGCGGAAATCCGAAGAGATGCACTTCGTATTCCCAGCCCTCGCGTGGTGTTCGGTCCTCGTTTTGAAGGGGCGGCGCCTCGCGTATCACTGCTCCTCCTAATCCTCATCCTCATCCTCCTCCTCCTTCTCCCCCTCCTCCTTTCTGCTCCTCATCTCCTCCATCCCTCCTCGCGAGAAACAACTCCTCCCTGTCGCACCCGAGACGTGTCACTAGGGCGGACCTGGCGTTTCGCCTGAGCCTTCCTCTCCACGGATGCTCCTGAAACTGGAGGGCTCAAACGGCTTCAAACGGATGGAGGGCGGGCCGTTTCCAAAAGCTGGCTCTCGCCTCAGCGCCGCGCACACTCGGCCCGAACAGCTGCAAGAGCTCCACGGATGGAGGGCGGCGCCCCGGCAGAGTCCTCCCCGTTTCGGCACACCCCCGAGACGCCTCTTGGCCCCATGGGGACTGCCCCCCTCCTTCCTCCCAGCTGCCTTGGCGGCACTCACGCCGGCATATGGCTGGGTCGGCCGCCGGGAGAGTGCTGCTTGCTCTGCTTCAACGCAGTGGGCGGGAAAGGCTGGCGTCGCATCGGGGAATCGGATCGGGTCCGGACAGGGAACGGGCCCGGCTGCATCGGCACGGAGTAGGAACCGGTATCGGATCGGCCGCGGCAGGATGCACAACAGCGCAATGCAAACATCGTGCCACGTCGGATCATCGGACTGTCGCAAACTGGACCAGACCAGGCTGGATCGAAAGGCACCCTGCAAGGATGCCCTTTGTCAAGGGCACCAACTGCTGCGCGGCAATTTCGGGGTGGGGGGCTAGAATTAGCATGGGGGAAACAGGTCCTAAGGGAAACGGGTCGTGGACCCTGGTGCCGTCCCCCAGGACGGGTTTTTCATCCTGAGCTGTTGTCTGATTGTCGCGAGGGCCCAAAAACTGCCAAGACCTCAGAACCCGTTTCCCTCAGGACCCATTTCCCCCATGGCGAGTGGTGCACATACAACATGCAGCCTCCCCAAACCCGTTTGGATGTCCTGCAAGGGCTGGCGTCACTAACATCCCAATGTGGAGGCTGGAAGACGGCACCACCATCGGGTGCAAGAGCGAAGTCCTGCTGGTGGTATGGCCCCCCTGCCTTGCAGCGCCCCGCTCGCGACCACTCCCAAAACCTCCAGCCCCAAACATCTGGCTGCTTCAATTTTTTCGATGCGTGGGCCCCCGAGGTCCGGACCACTTCCCCGGGTCCGATCTGCGTCCCGGGCCATTTTTTGACGCTCCCGAGGCCCAGCGAGGGCCCCCAGAGGCCGAAAACTGCCAGAAGCCGCCCGCTCCATCTCCACTTTTGCTTCGGGAGCGCCGGCTCCCTGGGGCTCGGGGGAGGCCGCGCAGACCTCCTCGCCGCACGTGGTCCGCGGGAGGTGGCCTGGCGGCACCCACGAGGGGCTGGCGCGAGGGGGGCGGCCCTCGCAGGCGGGGGGCACCCGAGAAGGCAGGCGGCTTCTGAGAAGCCGGTCCGACTTCTGTGGCTATGGCAATCCAGGGGCCCCTGAGCCTTCGGGAGGGGGCCCGAGGCAGGAGGGCCGAAAAGATTAGGGGTGGCAGGGTCTCCTCTGCAGATGTACCGAACCAGACCGCACAGATCCTTGGTCCCTGACGCAGAGACGGGAACCTAAGTGCGGCCATGTCTTCACTGTGATATTGAGGGCTGTTTTTTTATTCACGATGACTCTGAGCTGTTTTCTCAGAAGCCCCCCGGGCCCTTCTAAGAAGGCTCCCTGCCTTCCCCAGACTCCCTCGAATAATGAAAAACACATGACGGTAAATTTCTAGCCATTTTCAGCATCTGGGGGCCGTTACCGGGCCTCAAGACCGTCAGAAAACGACTCTGGATGAAAAACTGGTCCCAGGGAACGGGTCAAGACTTCTGGGGGTCGACGTTACGAACAAAAATCATGACGTCGGGGGTCTGGGTGAGGAGAAGGCCACATGCCATCCGAGAATCCCCCCCTGCCTGCCACCGCACACCTCGCGCCCTCCCACGCATCCTGCGCTTCGCTTTTGTCGAAGCACGGGCCCCCGACCTCTCGACCACTTCCCCAGGACCGCCTTTTCATCCCGAGCTGGTTCTTGACGGTCCCAAGGCCAGGTGAGGGTCCCGAGAAGCCGAAAACAACAAAAAACCTCCGTCTCGACTTTTTCGTGACGCCGACCTGTCGAACATGTCCCTGGACGGGTTTGTAGCCCGAGTCGGCTTTTGACGGTGCCGACAGCTATGGAGCACCTCTGTCTCTATTCCGCCGAGGCTCCGGATGTCTGGGTTTGGACGCCGCCGAGTGGCGGTGCCGCTCCTCCTCCCGCCGCCAGCGCCAAGGGACACACCAGCGAAGGGCGACTCTTCGCGGGGGGCCCAGGGCGCCGACTCGGCGGGGCCGGGCCCGCCCGCCATGGCAGCCAGCGGGTGTGGCGCCCACGGGAGGCAGATCCAACGACTGGCAACGCCCCCAAGACCCACTCGCGTCATGAAAACATCTCGACGGAAGGTTTCGGGATATTTTCAGCCCCTGGCGAGACCTTTGGGGTTCGACGTGAAAAATCCCCCGCTTGCCGAGATGAAAAGGCGTGTATCGACCTTTGGCTGTCCCTCTCCTCCTTTCCCCCTCCCCCGGGGTCCAAAATCGCGTTTCAAGGGGGGGGGCCCGGGCTCCCATACGCACCCCCAGGGCCTGGGGAGCCTCAAAACGTACTCCGTGGACTCCGAGCTGGCTCAAGCTGAGCTCCAACACGCCGAGGAGAGCTTTAAAAACAATATGGCCTCAAGACTGCCCAAGTGTTTTTGGGGGTGGCCTCAAGACTGCCCAAGTGGCCTCCAAGACGCCCCAAGAAGGCTCCAAGAGGACCCCCAAGAAAGCCCCAAGAGGGAAACTCGTCCCCATCCAAGGGAAACGTATATGTTTAGCATGTTCGCCTCTTTGGTCTCAGCAGCGTCCAAGACTTTCTCAAGAGGCCCCTAAGATCGCCCCAAGACGGTCCAAGACGCCAAGAGTGCCCCAAGACGGCCCCAGAGGAACCCAAGACTGCCCAACAGTCTCCCAAGATAGCCCAGCAGAGCCCCAACAGGGCCCCAACAGGAGTAAGTCGAACTTGCATGTCGAGCCCTGAGCCCCATGAGGAACCCCCGAGACCGCCAGCAGGCGCCCAAGAAGACCCGAAGAGGCCTCCAGGAGGCCCAACAGAGGCCCCCACAAGAGCTCACCCGTGGACTTCGTATTCACTCTGGGGGTCGGCGGAATGGCGGAAGCCTCTTGAATCCACGTTGAGCATTGACGTGCTGAGCGGCAGCGTTTTTCAGCGGACGCCAAATGCAACGTATCCCATGTATCCAATGATTGCGAAATTGCCACATGTTGTATTGGATTGCATAATTATGTCTCCCCCTAAGCACCCGCTTGAGTCGCGCCACATCGCTGGACCAAATATGACGACCCCATTGCTGGGGGTCATAAACGTAACAAAACCGATGAAACATCTCTGATATCGGCCTCTGGGGCCTCCTGAGGGTCCAAGAGGGTCTCAAGACGGCTCAGCGCAGCTTGCCGAAGGCCCAAGGCGGCCCCAAGAGGGCCCAAGATGCACCTCCAGATGCCAAACACATTGATTTCCTCACGGGTTTTGCAATGCTTTCGCGTTCTTGCCTTTTTCAATTCTCGAGGGCCTATGGCGACCCAAGCAGCCTCCAAAATGGCCCCGAGACGGCCCGACAGGCCCCCAAAGAGGGCCGCAAAACGGCCCAGGAGGGCCCCAAGATGGCCCGCAGAGGCCCCAAGAAGGCTCAAGAGGCCCCCAAGACGGCCCAAGAAAACCCCAAGAAAGCCACAAGGCGCCCCTGAGAGGCCTCCGAGACGGCCTCTGAAGGGGCCAGACGGCGCAAGAGCGCCCCAAGACGGCCCAAGAGGCCCAGAGAGGCCCCAAAGGGGCCCCGAAGAGGCTTCCAGGGGTCCCCAAGAAGCCTCCAAGATTCCCCAAATAAGCCCCCAAACGGCTCAAAGAAACCACCCAGAGGCCCGCGGATGTTTATACAAATGGCGCGTTGATGCATCGGAATTTGAACTTGGCGTTGCCTTGTGCTGACACGCGGTGCATGCTCATTGCCCTCGTGGATATTCGCACGCTCGTCCCAGCGTGAAACATGGGATGGGGGCGGCATCCGCCCCCCGTGGGGCTGGCAGCGCCCTGTGGCGGGCAGAACTTCTCGGCAGACGAGCAGGGCAAACCACCCAACGCCCAGTCTTAACGTGCTCCGGACGTGCACCCCGCGAAGCGAGAGAAATCATGACGTCGGGGGTCTGGGCCTGGATCGATGGGCAGCGCCTCAAGGGGACGACAGGTGGTATCAGAACAGCAGTATCATGGCACCATGAAGGCAAGCAGACCTGGCCTGTCAGCCTCCCCAGCAGTGGTCCTCTCGTGGAGGGCGGGGAGGAGAAAGGCGAAGATAGAAGCCTTCCAGATGGGGTCGGAGTAGATGGGGTCGCAGGATGGGGCCGCATCGGCGACGTCGACGATGCATCGGCGCCGTCGGTGTGGAGACAATCGGGCTCCACGTCGAGCCGCGTCGACGATAAATTGGTGATTGCGACGCGATCCTCCGGCCCCATCTGCTCGGACCCCATGTAGGAGGCCTAGAGAAGATGAGAAGAAGAGGTCGGTCGGTCGGTAGGTCGCGGACATCGATTGACTCAGTCAGCTGAGCTCTGCCGGGGTGTGCAGGCATCAAAGTTAGACAGCAGCCCAAAGCAGGGCTCAGGGCTGCGTAATAGCAGCCCAGGGAGCAGACACAAGGAGAAACCGAGAATCCTCCGCCATCGAAACCATTACCCAATACATCCACCCCCACCCTTGGACAGACGTGGCTGCATGCAGCCACCTGTGCAGGTCGGCCTGCACAAGCCGCTGCTCCCTCGCAGACGGGCGAGGGGCGGCCTGGGTGAAGAGAAGGCGGGAGAAGAGGAGGAGGAGGAGGAGGAAGAGGAGGAAATCGAGGAGGAGGAGGAGGAAGAAATGGAGGAGGACGTCGCCTCGAAATACGGCCCGCTGGCGCCCACCCCGCCCGGGACGGCGGGGACCCAGCTGCAGCGCTCCTCGCCGAGCTCGCAGTAGGCGGCCATGACGCTGTCCGGGCAGGGCTCGCACGGCTCCCCCTCGAGGGTCACGAAGCCGCAGGCGCCGGGCGACGCGACCTCCTCGAGAGCGCCCGTGGCCAGGGCGTGGAAGACGACGATCGAAGAAGAGAGGACAGCATAAGGATTCACTGTCGGAGGTCCGCGCAGATTTCTCGGATCGGCGCTGGACCCCCGTGGTGGCGCCTCCGGCGTCGCCCCTGGCGTGCTCAGCGCCCCAGGGAGGGGGCGCTGAGCGCGCCAGGGGCGCTGGGCGCGCGAGGGGCGCTGGGCGCTCCAGGGCCGACGCCAGAGGCGCCACAGGGGGTGTCGAGCGCCACTCCAGGGAAGCCGCGCGGACCTCCGAAAGTTTCATGGTTATGCCGTCTTGCTCCTCTTCGAGACGAGGCAGGACGCCCCCCGGGGCCACAGGCACTCGCAGCAAGAGCGGGCCTGGGCGGCGTCCTCCAGGGCGGCGAGATGTCTGTAGACGCATGCGCCGCCCCTGGCCCAGCGCCCATCATGGGCCCAGTGGAGCGATGTGTGCCAGTGCGCCCCCCCGGCTCGGCCAGGGAGGCACATGGCTCACACGGTGGGCTCCAGAAACCCTGAACCTCAAAATGTTGACATCTCTTGGGGGGCTGATCTTTACTTCCGCCGGCGTCCACCAGCTTTCCGCCAGCTTCCGCCGGCGGAGGCGGCCTCGCTGCACCTCCATTACAGTCCGCCGCCCTCTGCCGCCCTCTGCCGAGGAATGGCTGGCAACTCCTTCGATCCTCCAAGGCGGGGCCCTCTCTGAAGCCCACCACACGTGCACCGCTCCTGGGCCAAGCATGGGCCTGGCCAGGGGCGGTGGATCTGGGGAAGCCACAAGGCGCCGATACCGCTGCTCCCCTGACCTCTCCCGGGGTGCGTTCTGACCAGGACTTCGAGGCGAATCCGGCTGTGGCGACGAGGGCCTCCCAGGAAGCCAACGAAAAGCGAAAACAGGGGAAGGGCAGCAGCGTCGGTCGGCACCTTCTCCGCCTCCCACGGTGTCCGTCGACCCGCATTTTCAATCCGCAGCCCTGCAAGTTCCGACCACTTTCCAGGAAAGTTCTTCTCCCCAAATCCGTTTGTGATGGCCCCGGGTCCGGACCACTACCCCCAGACGCCGAAGTCTAAGAGAAGCACACGGATCGAAAAGGCGAAGGCGAAAGAAAGATGGCGGTATCGGTAGCCCCTCCTCCTCCTCCTCCTCTGAGGATTTGACGACACCAGAAGGTACCGATACCGCTACTCCCCCGACCTCTCCTCGGGTGCATTCTGACCAGAACTTCGAGGAGAATCCAGCCGTGGTGACGAGGAATCTCCAGCAAGAGCAGCGGTATCTCGGCAGCGAGCGGGGGGGGAAGTGAGAAGGGGCGGGCCTTCTCAGAAGTCTTGGACTCCTGAGAAGTTTTCTAAGACTTTCCCGAAGACAGAAAAACTTCTCAGAAGGCGCGAGGGCTTCTGAGAAGTCCCGCCGCCTTCTGAGAAGGCCTTTTCCTTCTCACTTTCCCCCCCTCGCGCGCCGCCGAGTATCGGTACCCTCTCCTCCGCCGAGGTTCGGTCTGCAGACCTCGTCGCCCGATCCTCGCCAGAGCTCTGCGCCCAGCGCCCCCCGGCGGACACGGAGCAAGCCGCCGGGGCCGCGACCACGGCGCGGCAGCAGTCCACCTCCACGGGCAGCACCCTCGCGGCGCGCGGCTCGCCCCCCACCACGAGCCGGCAGTGAAGGAGGCAGGGGCCCTCCCATGGGGGAGAACAAGCGGAGACCACCCAGACACCATGGCGTCTCGAAAAAATCCAGCAAGCAAGCAAGGAAGCCAGGCGCCCAAACGGCGCACTCGGGGCCCTCATCGGGCCTCGGGACCGTCAAAAAACGGCTTGGGATGAAAAACTGGCCCTGAGGAAGAGTAGTCAGAGGTCGGGGGCCCACGTCTCGAAAGAATGGAGACGCCAGATGCCTGGACATGACCAAGACGCAAGGCGGAGTCGTCGGCGCCGATCTCGGTCATCGTCCAGCTTGGTCGTCGTCAACTCCTGGCTCAGCCTCGCGAATCGGCGCTGGCCAGTGGGGACCATGGCCAAGATCGGTGTCGACAAGATCCCGCGGCATCTTGGTCATGGAGATTGAGTTTCACTGTTTCGGGCAACGGTGGTCATCCCGGGGGGAGGGGAAGGGTTTGGGCCCTGGGTTACCAGTATCTAACACTTGGGCGGGGTGGGGCACCTCGGGGCGGGGGTGAGCTGCGATCGCCGCAGTATGCGCGCCAACAACAGCATGTGGGGTGGGGGTCCAGGACCCCCCCCTTCGTGGACAAGCGCGTTCCACTACTCGCAAAGTACTGCTCGCAGATGGCCTGGCTCCGCCGCGAGGGCTCTGCGATCCATCGCATGGTAGACAGGCACGTGTGTTTTTCGGTCGCCTGCGAGGAAGCACTCTGCGAGCAGCGGAACGCGCCCGGTGACTACGTACGATCGTGACCGTAACCCCCGGGGGGGGTCCCCTAACCCTGCCGGGGGGGGGCGACCTGGCCCGGGTAACGACCGCTGCGCGCCAGAGCATAAGACCACAGTCTGCTGGGTATCGCGCTTCCGCCCTCGAGCCGGGGCCTCGTCCATGTCGGCCCTGGGGCCCGAGAGGCGCGCCCCCATGGCCGCGCGGCAGGCCGCCCCGACCGGTGGCAAGCCTGGGCGGGATCGAACCGCGAGATCGGAGCGGGTCGGGAACGGATCAGCTCGCCAGCGAACCGTCCCGAATCGAACCAAAGTCGCATCGCCGGCGCCCAGCTCCGGCCCGCTCCGGCCGTTGCTGCTCGGACGACCGCGGGGGATGGGGGGGTACAAATGAATGCGAGGGTGGTTATATCTGCCGGAAACTAATTCATAAGTGGGCTACATGTGCCCTAACTTGCTTTGGTGAGTTCACTTCCTCTTCTGAGTGAGCGCAGCGCACGTAGACCAGGTCTCAAGCCACTTAGGGCATTTCTAACCCGCTTACGAGATGTGTCAGGCCAGGTGGAACCCACCTTCGCCTCCACTTGTACCCCCCTATTCCCTCAGCACTCCAGGAGGGGCCCCGAGCAAAGCGCATCGGCATCGCGGGCCCAGCCCGCGAATCGAATCGCACCGAACTTGATCGTAGGCGGCCCTGGCCAGCCTCAGCCGCGGGGCGCCGCCGCAACGCCGCCGCCCGCGCCGCCCGCGCCGCCCGCGGGCGCGCCGCCGCCGCCGCCAGGGCCGCCTCCGCCGGCCTCGGCCGCGAGCAGCCGCTCGCGCTCCGCGGCGGCCGCCTGCTGGCGCCGCTGGGACTCCTCGAGACGAGGCCAAGACCCGTGACCGTCCCAGACACCCCTCGCGTCATGAAAAAAGCACTGCGGATGGTCTCCCAATATTTTCAACCTCTGGGGGCCTTTACCAGACCTCAGGACCGTCAACGAAAAGACTCGGGATGAAAAACCGGTCCCGGGGAACGGGTCGAGATCTTTTGGGGGTTGACGATATGAGAACATCATGACGTTGTGGGGTTGGGACAAGAACAAAATCGGACAGGGATAAATCGGGAATCTCTGAGATCCAGCGGTTTGGGAGGATGTATTGGGCGCCGCGGCCTTCTCAGAGCGTCCCAGAGCGCTCCGAGAGGAGCGATTCGCCCCTGTTCTAGCCCCCGCCCGACTCCTGCACCGCAGGATAGAAGGCGTAGAACCTGGAGGGGAGGAGAGAGCTGTGCACGCGTGCACCGATCCTGGCGAGGCCCGCCCTGAGGGCCCAAGATCGGGGCACACGCCCACCTGGCCGGGGACCCGTCTTGACTATCATGTTCATGCATGCGGGGCCCCCAGAGCCCCGAGTCCCGAAACCCTCTCTGGGGACCCGACCCGCTTCTCGTCCCACCTAGTTCTTGTTGACGGTGAGGGTGCCCAGTTAGGCCGAAAGCGGCGAAAACGCTAAGGCTTGATTTGTTAGTGCGCTGGAGGTCTGGGCATGCACGCACCACGGGCCCAGGATGGGCCCAGCCAGGCTCGGTGCACGTGCACAGCTCCCTTCGCCGGAGAGAGCCCGCTGCCCACACCGACGGCGGCGGCCGCGGCCAGCTCTAGCGCGCCGATCCGGCCCAGCATCGGGGCGGAACCGCGGCACGCGTAGCACGGCGCGCGCGGCGCGCGGCTGGGCGGCGGACGACTGGGGCCCACTGAGCCAATCCCCGGACGTGTTCTGTCTTACCATTTGCTGTCTGCCACTGCACCTCAAACTGCGGTCCTGCATCCGAGTGAGTCGTGCAACACGCGAGCATCCCATTGAAATTTCACAGCAAATCGGGCCCCTTGCCATGTCATACCCATGTGGTTCATTGTTATTTGTCCCTTCGTGCAGGTCGGTTGGCTACGTCGCAAACCGCCGCCTCTCCCCATCGACCTCTTTCAGGAACGAGCGCCACACCCGACTGACGTCAGGCGCGAGCGACCGCTGGTCGGAGCGTTCAGCGGGGCGTCAGACGGACGACGGGCTGTGCGAGGTCAAGCTCGCCCGCCTGCGAGCGGTCGCGTGGAGGCCGGCAGCGCCTCCTTCCGTCTTGCGCGCGGCACAGATGAGCGACGAAAAGAAACAGACCTTCCGCGCGATGAGAAAGCGATCTTACGCGGCGGCTAACGTGGGCCGCAAGCTCGGCACGCTACATCGGAAACAAGGGTGCTGACCCGCGACCTTACGCGGGCAGTTTGCGCGCGAGTGTCCGCGTAATCGGACCCGCTCGCTGCGTCGCTCGGATGGACTCCCTCTCTCTCTCTCTCTCTCCCCAGATGGCCCTGGCGGGCCCCTGGAAGGTGCTCCTTACAGGCTCCAGCGCCTCCCTGCCGAAACTGCCCAGCGAGACCAACCAAAACCCCATGCACCACGGGCGTGGCCCCTACCCGTGCGGAGAAAAATTAGCCTGGCGAAAGACCCAACCGCTTGCATGTGTGAATACCGCAATTGTGGGTATCGTCTTCCGTGGCGCTCCCTCTGGGGCCACGAAACGCTGTACTGGGTGGGGGAACCACATGCGAACTGCGCCACCTAGG